AAAAAACCAATAAATCTTTCCAAAAAGAAAAAATAGTAAGTAAATGTATAGAAAAGAATGAAGGCAACATATGTACAAACATGCCTGATGCAATCAATGTATGGATTGTAATAAGAATTGTAAGAAGCCCCAATAAAATGATCTTTTAATAAAAAAAATTTTTTAAAAGAATAACCTACACCAAAAAAGAAAGATCATTTACTCATATTTAATAGATCTGCTCTTGGCACGACTAGATGGCAGCCAACTGAAGCCTGTAATCCAGTACTGTTTATCGAGAGATTACAGAAATCCGGCTCACCACGGGCCACATTTTTTTTTAAATCTAAAAGGTTCTTCTAGAAATACAACAAACATTTGTGCAAAATAAATGGTTATACTTTGAAATTAGCCCAGGAATGTTTTAGGTTTATTACACGCATAGGGTGAGGCACATGCGCAGCCAATCACATATAGAAAGCACAGACAAGCAGGCCAACATACCAAAGCCCCGAGGGTCTGAATTGCCATTGTGGTAACTCTGGGTCGCATCACCTTCAGTGCCCCAATTGCTACAAAAGGAGAGTGAATATATTACTACAAGTGTCCTGCAGAAAAGATATTCTGGAAGAAAGTCTTTAAAACATCACCATGCATATAAAGGTTTCATACACTTGGCTTTACCTCTACTATTTCAAATATTAAGCTCTCAAGAAAGGGCAAATGGACAAGGTAGGATTTTGAACTAGACGGAGGAGGCGGTAAAGCCAGGCAACAGTAATAAACAACAATAGCAGCAGCTATCGCTCATTGTGCTTCGGACTTTGTCTTCCATTAAATCTCAGAACAGCTGAACAGGCTCAAATTGAGTAGGTCTCTCTTACAGGTGAGATTGTTGTTCAGGCAGGGTGATTTGAGTTGTTCAGGGTCACCGAACTATGTCAGCGCCACGGTTCGTGTCTAGGTCTGTCCAGTTCTGATGCTCCCTTTTCAATCAGGGGACAGACACACCAAGCCACAGACCTTGACAGAGTGCAGAGAAATAACATAAAGAATTAGGGGAGGAAGTGCGGAGGGGCAGGTGAGAGGGAAGACATTTCTACATTTGTAAATATTGAAAATATTTAAATATCTTTTTAATGTTTATGATTGTAAAACTGTTGAAAGGCTTAAAAAAAACCCATTATGTAACATTTCTGGATCAAAAATAAAAAAGAATGAATGAACAAGTATTTGAATCTCCAGTTGGGCAAATATCTTACCATCCATGATCTATCTAAAAGAATGATGATCTCACTTCCCCTGACTGCCACAAGAGCAATAAAACACAACCAACCCCATTGCCAGGAAGTTTCTTCCAACTCATGGCAAGTTCTTGGGTTACTTACTGAACAGAACTGCTCCATCGGGGCTGTACAGGACAATAGGAAAACAGGTCTCTAAACAGCACTCAAGTCACATTCTTACAGATGCGGTCATTAAGTAGCTCTGGTTTGACTTAACTGGTAAGTTTAATGGGGGTGGGGGTGGGGGTGGAGATGAAAAGCAAAACTAGCTTACAAGGTGTAGCTGTGGAAACGCATACTCACTGAGTCAGTTCCAGGGTAGCTTTTCTGGAGAACACCCATGCCAGCTTTTCATCTTTATCCTTGGGGATGTCATTTTTATCCTCATACGCCAAGAAATAGAGGGAAAATTTCATAGTCGGAAAATCTAATTTTTGGAGCAGCCTGAAATTAAAAGATGACAGGCCCAAATCATGTAGAAAAGGTAGATTCATTTCAAACAAAACCTTTCTAAAATTGATTGTGGTGATGATGGCACAACTCTTGAACATATTCAAACCACTGAAATGTATGCTACACAGATTAAAAATAAAACTATTTAAAAAATAAACAAAACCTGATATTCATGTTGTACTAAGAATAATGCTGTTTGAACGGACAGAGCATGGGGAAAAAATCAGAGAAAAAAAAATCTCAGTAAAAAAACCTTACTCATCTGTAAATACCAGGGAAATACAACAAATTCAGTCTGTTGAATTTCACAAAATCTTCAAATATAATGGACTTTAACTGAAATGATAGTAATTGCTTATAAACAGAAAAAGTCATCATCAAAAGGTAATTTGTCTAAATGAAAACTGCAATGTATTACCCAATTGTTTTTCATATACATACTGCTCAATTGAATAAAGATTTCTTAAGTTCTTACAATGTTGAAATTTCTAGGTATATTTACAAGATGAGTTTGAGAAAATTAGGCATATAGCTAGGATTTGATCACATCTATACATACAATAGACTTAAAATGTTTTAATTTTAAATTGTTTTTAACCATTTTATTAGTTATACAGACATCATATCATCCCATAGTTCCATCACATCAAGCAGTCTTGCACAAATGCTGCCACAATCAGTTTCAAAAAAATGTTTTAAACAGATAACCACCCCATTTCCCTGGAGTCAATTCTGACTCACAGCAACCCTATCGGACAAAGTAGAAGTGCCCTATAGGGTTTTGAAGGCTGTCGTCTTTACGAAAGCAAGCCGCCACATCTTTTTCCTGTGGAGCAGCCGGAGAGTTTGAACCACTGGCTTTTTGGTTAGCTGTTGTGTGTTTAACCAGGGTTAGGTCAAAAAGATAAAATGAGAAAAATAAAAACAAAACAAAAAATCTTCCCAGGGTGAGGACCTAATGTCAGGGGTTTAAGTGGAGAGAAAATGTTTTGAGAATGATGTACAAATGCGCTTTACACAATTGATGTGTGTATGGATTGCGATAACAGTTGTATAAGCCCCTAATAAAATGTTTAAAAAATAAAATAAAATAAAATAAAAAACCAAAACCAAAACAAAACAAAACAAAAATCTTCCCAGGGAAAGAAAATTGAGGATTGGTGATAAGAGAGAGAGGGAAGGAGGAGCAAGATTAGTATCACGGAACATATATAAATGCCATCAATAAGCATTGGGTGTTATAGAAAGGTCAAACAAAATTAAGACCGAGAAAAGGTCACCAGATATGCAAAGGTCCCGTGAGATGGTTTCAGCACCAAGAGGCGGCAGAGGCTGGGCTGCGCTCGAGAAGGAACAGGCGGTGAGGAAGTAAATGGTGTTGACAATGGAAAGGCAGCAAGGCGAGCGGGCATAAGAGCTAGAATCATTCCAGAGCAGAGAAGGCTAAGTTTGCTTGCAGGGTGAGGAGAAAGATGAGTGAAGTTTGGGCCTGGTACTTGAGCTTAAAGTGTAGAATTGTTTTGCTGGGAATCAGGCAGCATGAGGGCGCACAGAATACAATTTCCAGGAGATGACTGAAAGGGGACTGAATGCTCGGGGATAACTTTGTTTGTAATCCACCGAAGGGAATGGCGACAGCACAATAAATGGAATGTTCCTAGGGTTCTGCCCCAAATCTCCGATTTAATTATCACTTTGATGCACTAGGCCTTAGCCCACTGAGATCTGTGCATTGAGTTAACGCAAATAAAATTTACTCTAATATAATAAACTTAGAGTAAAGTATCAGACACTGCCTACACTTGCAAAACTCTGACAGAACATGTACTTAAACGTTACTGGCCCCAAGAAATCTTTCACTTACGTCATTCCAAGAATTCTAGTATAAAAATCCAGTGACTTCTTAGGATCTTTAATTCGGAGCATTGTCTGCTGCAGCAGGAAGTCCTAAAGAGAAGCACTATGTATTAAACACCTCTAACTTGAGCACTTATTATACACATTGTGATCTGTACAAGAACAAGAACCATGAGTGTCTACAAATTTGTTTCCAAACATGTTTGGACCCTTGCTTATCATAGAAATCACCTGAAATCAATTCCCAGAATTCCCACCTACAGATAGCATCCTGTGGCTCTCTGACCAGGATGTTTTCTGGACAACAGGAGCAAGCTTCTGTGTAGGACAGGTCCAAAGGGCAAGGGAGTTGATACCCTAGTGTGGTAGTTACATAATCTTTGTCAACTTATGGAAGGATGGAGTCTACCTGTCAATCAGGTCGTAGCTTGATGACCTCATTTGGAGGCACTAAGAAGATAAACAGCTTCCTGAAAGAAGGTCACACACACACTCCCTGTGAGACAATCCTGTTGACAAGCCACAGGGAGACAGGCTAATGGCAGTCAGAGCCTTGGAGCTGAGGAGCCACGTGGAGACCCACGCCAGCACTGAGATGCTTCTACCACCACTAGATCCACAAGACTTCCCACCCACTGGGCTGTGATCTTCCTGCATTCAGTGTCATTGCATGAATGCGTGAGTCTAAAGAAGAATTTATGGACTAGTATTGACATATGGGGTAATATCAGACTTATGGACTTGATTTGGAATTTATGGACTGGTATGGACATATGGGATAATATCAGACTTATGGACATGATCTGGACTGAGCTGGGATGTTTTCTCAATATACAATTGCTCTTTTATATAAAACTCTCTCATACACATGAGTGTCTATGAATTTGTTTCTCTAGTCTACCCAGACTAACACACCAAGGAAGGACCCTCAAACAGCGGTAGGTAAACACATCTCTGCTTTCCTTACCCCTTAGGGGCCCATTCTGAAGCATGCTCCACACCGTCTCTCACAGGCTCACCAGCAGGGTTGAACCCCAGTTTCCCACAGTAGTAATCCATTCTTAATACATCTTTCATTTTATTTTTCAGCTTGTTATTGTGCATTGCGGTGAAGGTTTACAGAGCAGATCACTAGTTTTACATTCAACAATTACACACATTTCATTTCATTCATTGCAAACCGCAATGTAACATCACTCGACCCTACTCCCTCTGTTTCCTGTTTCCAGTCTTCCTTCCTTCCTAACTCTTTTGAATTTTGTCTTTTGGTAATTGCTGCCCCTTTGATCTCAAGGGGTTGATGATTCTAAGGTGTCCCTACCTCACCAGTGTTATTGTTCCCCTTACAGACCGATCTATTGTCCGGCTGAACACTGAGCCACGGGGGCGAGCTCAGCTCAGTCTGAAAGGTGACTCAGGACCATGCTCACAGGGGTTCCAACAGGCTCTCTCCGACCAGCAAGCCTGGACTCTCCATGCTCGCAGGGGTTCCAATAGGTTCTATCCAACTAGCAAGCCTGGACTCTTTTAAGGTTCTGAATTTTGTTTTAGCATTTTCCTCCCACTTCATCCAGGATCTTCTAATGTAATCCCTTTCGGAGCAACTGGGAATGGTAGTCAGGTGCCATCTATAGTTCTGATCTCAGGGTCAAGGAGACTGATGTTTGCATGGTCCATTATGCCACTGCACTAACTGGTCCCATGTGGCTTTGGTTTTCATCACTTTTCTTACACTCTCTTGGGGAGAGACCTTCAGACAGGGAGAGACCAACACATGGCCATCAAGTCAATTCTGATGCAGAGAGACACTATAGGACATGGTAGAACTGTCCCCAGGGTTTCCGAGATTGAAACCTTTTTAAAAAAAATCATTTTATTGAGGGCTCATACAACTCTTATCACAATCCATACATCCATCGTCAAGCACTTTTATACAGTTGTTTCCCTCATCATTCTCAAAACATTTGCTTTCTACTTGAGCCCTTGGTATCAGCTCATTTTCACCCCTCCTTCCCCATTCCCCCTTCCCCCATGAACCCCTGATAATCATTATCATTTTGTCATAGAGATTGAAACTCTTTACAGGAGTAGAAAGCCAAGTCTTTCTCTTTCTGAGCACTGGTGAGGTTCAAACTGCTGACTGTGTAGTTTGCAGCCCAGTGCATAACCACTACACCACCAGTTCCTGGAGAGGGCAATCGTTGCACCTTAATATACTGTATATCCTCGTGTATAAGTCGAGTTTTTCAACACATTTAAAATACAGTTTTTGTGGTAAAATTAGGTGCCTCGGCTGATATTTGGGTGAGCTTATACTGGAGTATATAGGGTACTTTTCTCTGACCTCCCTTGCCCACTCCATAGACTTTTCTGTGATCCTTTCTGAATAAACTACTTACAAATAAACCTTTAGCTTGAGTCTCCCTTTGAGCAACCCAAAGTGAGACCCTGATGTAACCACAAATAAGGAATCCAATGACTATCGTATTTGGGGAATGAATGTATATTGAGTGCCCTTCCAGCACCATTCACTGGTAACTAGGTAAATAGCGAGAAATTACTCACAAGACCTAGGCTCCTAAACAACTCCTAGGTGACAGTAAAAAGTTACTGTCCCTAACACCTTTGTGAAATGGTCCAATTTACAAATCAGAAAACAGAAGGATTAATCTGTCTGGGGAAAAATAAAGGTAGAATATGTACATTCATGATGTTAAGATTATTATTCACACTACTTTGACAATAATCATTAATAATAAACATTAAAAATAATATGTTGCCTAGGAATTTTACTTCATTAACTACAATAACTCTGACATATATTAATAATCCCATTTTATAGATGAGAAATTGACACCCTAGTGATTAAACTAGACATCCAAGCCTTCTGATTCTAGTTCAGGTCTCTCTCTACCTTACAGACCCTAAGTCTGTAAATCAGGTGAGACCTTCCCACAAGGTTAGGATTCTCTGAAACCCACGATCTTGACAAAACGGCCTGGCACCTTTGACTTCTCCTTACGCAGCACAAGCATCTATCTCTCCTTATAACTCCCATTGTGGAATTCATTCAGCATCACGAGGACATGAAAATAACCAACATGTACCTTTTCAGCATCAAAGCTCACTTAAAACAGACAAGTCCCAAGCTACTTTCTTGTATTCAGCTGGTGCCAATGAATGGAAGCCAATGAATGGCTTTATTCACAACGTATCATCACATAAGAGCAGTTGGGTCTGCAGCTACAGGCTTCCGGGAAATTGGGATGGCTTTTCCAGGTCAGCTGCTCTGCTCCGGGAGGGCGCATCTTAGTGTCAGCGAGCAGCTGAGACAGGCATAGAAGCAGCTCGGGAGATACAGACCAGGGCCTGGCTTTTCTCCCAGGAACACATCCAAAGACCACCTACAGGAGTCACTGCGTCCTGCCTGCTCAAAAAGAAAAGGCAGCGAGAGACGACTTCAGGGTCTACAGGTAAACACACAAGACACTTCGAACGCTACAAGAACAGCAAACACCCCCTTCTCCTGGTTAATATGAGTGACTGCTGCTTCTCTACAGCACAGTGGAAACGTGAGTAAGCCGACTGGCTTCAAGACAAAACCTTCAGGTCATTATGGAGACTGGTCCAGGCAGGTCTCAGAGGGAAAGCAGTCGCTCCTACACCAGACTTCGGGCACCGCAACTTTGGAGGAGGAGGGGTAGTCAAGGCCTCAGTTGCATTCCATGAGCTTGGGCTCTGGAATCCCAGATCTGCAGGGATCCAGCTGACCCTCGCCCACTGGGTGGCATTCCTTAGGGAAAACATTGAGGAGCTTGACCCTCTCCTTTTGGGCCTCTTGTTTGTTCTATAGCATTAAGTGAAAAAGGGCCGATTGTTACTTTCTGTTTGGAATATCTATTCTTCCCTTCTCAATAATATTCATTAGGATAACGAACCAATCAGAACGAATCTAATCTGGAGTAAACCCTGTTTCCTTAGCAAACCAAAGCAACATTGGTGCTATTGAGTTTATTCTGACTCACGGTGACACTCTAGGCCAAAGGAGGCTTGCCCACTGGAGCCCCGGTGGACTGCCTAGCATAAAGTCAGCAGTTCAAATCCACCAACCACCCAGAGGGAGAAAGATGAGGCTGTCGGCTCCCATAAATATTCAGAGCCCTGTAAACCCATGGGGGCAGATCTACTCTTTCTTACAAGGGGCGCTCTGAGTCGGAACGGACTCAATGACAGTAACAGTTGAGAACTTCCCCATTGGGCGTCTAAGGCTATAAATCTTTACAGAAGCACACTGCCACATCTTTCTCCTGTGCAGTAGTAACTGGTGGGTTCAAACCAACAAGCTTTTAGCTAGCAGCCACACACTTAACAAGTGAGCCACTCGGGGGCTTTCTGCTTCCCTAAACCAGATAACACAAGTCCATTTGGATACTAGATTCTTTCTCACGCTTCTTGCTTATACCTGCCCCACAGACATTCTCCTTTGTTGAAAGTCAGCAATGTACCTAACATGTTCAATCCCAGGTATACAAGGGGCTTCAAAAGTTTGTGAATGGGATGAAAAGATAATGGAGTTTCCCACAAACTTTTGAAGCACTCTCATATGACTGACGGTCTTCAACGAGAGGGGATTACTGACTAGCTCTCTCCTTCCCATGTACTGGTCAGTTCTGCATGATAACCCAATTTTAACATGACCCTGGTTATCCTATGAAGAAGCCCTCCTGCTGCGATGGTTAAGTGCTCATCAGCTAACCGAACGCATGGCAGCTCTAACTTACCAACTGTTCCCTAGAAGATGGGGCAGCCTGCTGATGTAACAATTACAGCCGTAGAAACCTTACTTGGAGAACATTTGTACTCTGCCCTATCCGGTCACTGAACTGAAATGGATTTGATGGCAGTGGGTTGAGTTTGGGTGTTTGTTCAAGCATTTAGTGACTTAGGTGCCACACTGAGACTTCATAGACACAGAATTAAGGTTACTAATCAGCTGACCTTAGACTACGACACCTGGATTATCTGGGGAGCCTCGATGTAATTAAGTACCTGAGCCCTTACATACAGAAGAGGAGGGCAGAAGAGTCCTT